TTAAAAGTATTAATATACATATTTCCTATATATGTAAACTATTGCTGATAAAAATAAACCACTGTAGCATATTTGATGAAATCTCTATTATAAAATGTAATTTTTTACCCACTTTCTGAGATTAAACAACTCCAAATTAATAGCTGGCTTGGCAAATAATCATATTCTTATTTTCTTCGAAGTGCCTCTACTATTCTAGTCACCTGCTGTTAGCCTAAAATAAAACTATAATTTGTTTTTTCTAAATACTATTTTAAAGAGAATAAATACATAGGAAAGGCATTAAATGTCTAAGACTAGTTTTTTTAAGATTAACTTAAAATCTGTATATTATCATATAATTACATGGCATGTGATTATGTAGTAAACATGTGGTTTTGATTTTACTCAGATTCAGAAGAGGAAATGAAAGCATTAGAGGCAGATTTATTGACCAATATGCGTACATCAAAGGTAACTTTTTCTTTTCTTTAACCCTGGGTGAAGAACATATGAACTTTCATCCTAAACATGATGTCCTTTTCCTATAGTAATAACTTCCCATCAAGACTGAAAAGTTGCTTGGAAGGCATTTCCTTTCTTGGGAAACTTTTCTTTTAGTTCAAAGAAGTTAAGAGTGTTGATATGACAGAAAAGGAACTATAACAATTATCAATCACCATATTGCAACTTTAATTAAGTAGTCCCATATTATTTATGTGGACATGTAAATGCATTTAAAGGAACTTGTTTCTATATTTTTTAAATTGGGTATGATGAAAGATTACTGGCCTCAACTTAAATGACAACTAAGTGAACTTTTTGCCTTTTCTATAATATTGAGGGAAAGAAAAAACTGTGCCTAAATTAAAATCAAAGTTCATGACAACCTGTGAAAGAAATGTGGTAGAGAAGAAAGAGCAATAAACTGACAAACAGGACCCTTGAAATCTAATCCTGAAACTATGGTTTATGAACTAGTTGATCTTATGCAAGTGGATTAGTTAACATTGTTTGCTTTTGTTTCCTTATTAAATGCAGGGGTTGGAGTTCATGATCTAGACATTTACAGTTCTGCAATGTGTTTAAAAATCATTGAACTGCATTCTTCATTGTTTGTCTCGATTTCAATTCTCCCTATTACAGACGTGTTATCTGTACCTGCTGTCTCTCTCTCTCTCTCTCTCTCTCTTTTTTTTTTTTCAATTGAGCCACATACAATTTGGTATTCTGGACACTATTATTTCTTTGTTGAGATCTTGAAAACAAGTTCCCAACCTGGACCTAGGAATAAAACTCTATTAGAATACACATGATTACCATTCTACTATATAATATAGATTACTCAGAGTAAGTCAATCATTGTATTCTAAATGTGAAACAGTTACTTGATGCAATTGTTGTGATAGCACCACTGTACCAAGGCTGAGGACTCAATAGATGTTATGGTGGAAAAGTAAGGACACAAAACTGTCTGATTTCTGAAGAGTTATTTCAACTCACGTTCTGCCATGTCAGGTTCCTCTTCCCTGATTGAAAGAGCGTGTTGTAGGTACAATAATACCTAGTATACAAGTAGGATTATGCTTGATAGCAGGAAGGAAAAATATCCATTTTTGTGTGTGTGTGGCAGTGTAAGACATTATTATCTGAAAGCTCACAAAGATGTATTTTCCACTATGGTACTTAGGAGACATTTTTGGAAACTTTAATCACATATACGTTTCTATAATGTCCCAGAGCTACAAAAATTGACCAGATTGAAGCCCAGTGTTACCATAATTTGGTAGGTTTTATATTAGGAATGACCAAATTTAGCTTAGTAACTAAAATTCCATGAGTAAATATATTTAACCTATGCAAACAGATCCTTGTTTAACACTCGATCAGAATAGCAATGGCTACAATCTCTTCAACTCAAAACTAGGAGGACAATTGAAGTCAATAGTCTATGACAGAAAATGGGATAGATTACAATGACTCAGAGTCTTGGTATAGATTTTTACCTCTGTAATTTCGAAGTGTACATGGACACATAAAGGTCCTAAATAATCTCCAAAATGTGACATAATTTGGGGAGTGCTAGTTACCTTGAGAACACATGAGAGTAGAGTTGTGTGATTCCTTCTCTGGCCAAGATACTGTGAAGAAAAAATGATACCAGTATATAGAGGAGTTTCACTTTTCTCTTATGGGAAAATACATAGCAAAAGTATAGACATAATTAAATTTTCTTTTTCATTCACTCATGGGATATATCTCTAAAACAAACCAAGAAAAAAATTTGAATTGCAAGGCCTCCTTTTAATTGAGATAAGTAACCAGGCAACACTAGTCCTTACATATATTTTATGAATATAGGGTTCTGTGGTCAAATTAGTTTGGGGAACATTGGCTACTATAGTCAGCACCATTGAAAAGTCACAGTGAATATTTGCATGTAAAAAGCTTGAAGGATATCTAAATTCAAGAAGCCTTTAAATTTCCTTGAAACTCAAATTTTCCAGCTCATTTGAGAGTGGAACTCCTTTTTAAAATTAATAAATACAGAACTAGTGTTCTAAGTAACAAACTTTGAAAACCATTAAAATAGCTGATCTCTAAAGAGCTTTCCAAATGTATAGTATCCCATTAATTGGCAGGGCATAAGGTGTTGCTGCCATGAAATGGAACATATTGCCTCTAAGGTAGTCTTCTGTAGCAGAAAATTTCAAGCAATGGCTAGATAACCCTATTCAAGGGGTGTAATAGAAAGGGTTTCCAAGCTGTTTGAAAATGTTATAGCTGTAGTGAACATCTTTGTACTCACAAATTTGCATGCCCTTAGGGTAAAATTTTAATCAAAGAGTATGCACACTTATAATTTTAATATATATTGTCAAAACATCCTTCAAGAAGTTATACCAAACTGTACTTAGAACAACAAACATTTAGGAAAGGAACACCTGCTTCCCCATGTTGTGGTTACTGTTAAGTATATTCATACGTTTTTAAGTCTTCCAATCTGATAGTAGCCAAATCGAAAATTATGTCATGTATTTCTTTACTATATTTCTTCCTTGATGGGCAATTTTGTGACTTTTCTGTTCATATCACTTATTCAAGGTTTACATTTTTTTAAGTTTTTTTAATTGTTGTAGTCACCATTTTCTTTTTGAAGATCTCCACCTGTATTAAGGATATTAATATTTTGTGGCAGCTTTTTCTACATAGCTTGGTTTTGATTTTATTTCAGGATGTTATGTTTCCACAGAACAATTTTACACATTTATGTATTTAAAATTATTTTTTCCTTTATAGATTCTGGTTTGGACATCCGCTTAATGATATTTTTCCAGGTTATAAAATGAATTCTCCTATATATTTGCATAATATTTTAGTTTTACTCATATTTAACTCATCTGGATATTGTTTGGATATAATATATCAAAAAAGGTTACAACTAGATCCATCTCCAGATTTCCCCATAGCTAACTGCCCCAAAGTACTTGAAATGCAAATTTTGCTATAAGCTATATAGCCATATGTACTTGGATCGATTTTTGAACACTATATTGTCCTGTGTTGGGTTTTATGTTTATTACTGCTCTATTAATTTACCTCTTCGATTACTGCAAATTTAAAATATATTATAATATTTGGTAGAGTAATCCTTTCTTATTACCTTTTATTTTGCTAATTCTCCTTTGTTGTTCTCACACATTCATCCTTTCGAATTAACAATTATTAATAATTAGCTATAATTATTTTGCCAAATCTTCTTCTCCAATTTCCAGTCTCCTCATAGTTTCCCAACTGGGATAATGATTTGCATTTGTATTATATTTGGAAGGTAAGTCAGAGAAAATCATCACCTGGTATTATTATTATTGAGTCTTCCCATTGTGTGTTTGTGGTCATTTAAATTTCATTTGATTTAATATTCCTTCAAGAAAAATTTATGCTTTCCTTCATCTATGGACCTTTTAATTTTATGTTAATTTTTGTTAATTATTTCACAGTTTGGTTCTTCCTCCTTATGTTTTCTTATTGATTATTGTTGACATGTAAGAAAGTTGTTAATTATGGTAATTATGATTTCACACCAGATATTATTAGAAAAGAAAGGTAATTACACAAAATATTTTAATTTGAAAATAAATAAATTGGTCAGCTATGATGCTGCCATGACAACTATTAATGTGTAGAATATGTTAATAGCCTCACATTATTGTAATTATCCAAAACTATTAATATCATCTTCGTCCCTGCTCCATTACTTATTAAGCTAAAATGCAATAAAAAGAAAGTGGTAGTTTTTTAATTTTTTCATCTGTGATATATAAATACATATTTATATACATACATTTATATTTCTACTGTCACTTCTATTTTCTTCCTTGGCTTTTCTGTGTGTGCTTGTGCGAGTGCCTATGTATATGTGTATAACTGTATTGCATTCTATTAAATAGAGGATGTACAATATTGACATTATGTAACTTTGTGACATAACTGCGAAATTAATAACACTGTATTTATTAGACTAGAGTAAAAGTTATATTCTCAAATGTGATGGTTTAGCACAAAAAAAGTTTATTTCTTATTCATATAACAGAGTTTTAATTGCAATATATATATATTTTTTCTATACTTCAGATCAGTAGAGCAAGTGTTCCCTCTTGGAAAATGACCCTGCTGAATGTGTGCAGTCTTGTAAATAACCTGAATACCCAAACCGAGGAAGCAGGAGAGATTGGTGAAGAGGAGCTCCTTACAAGAAGGAAATTTCCCATTGCTTTAGATCGCTTTAGCTTGGAAGCAATGCTGACAATATACCAGCTCGAAAAAATCTGTCACAGCAGGGCCTTTCAACATTGGGAGGTAAAATTAAAACAAAATATGGATATAATTTTAGATATACTATTAATAGGTCTCATTTATATTGATTTTTAAAAATCCTGCTCATTATCATAACAGGAAGACCTATAAATATTAAAGAGGAATAAACCATGTGTTGAGGTCAACATTCCTTCAGATCTTCAAAGTGTCTTCAAATATTTGGAGTTTAGTAAAATATTTTTTTCAACCTTAAAAAGAGGATATATATCTTAAGGGAGATTTGAGCCATATGCTTTTATCGTACTTAAGTGGATGGCATGCTTAAGCAATTTTTGGTGGTGGTGGTATGTCTAACAAATTTAAGGAACATTTGCCTAAAATATTCAAATACAAAAGATTCCAAATAAAACTCGAACAATAAGGATATATATCCCTATCTTATATTTTTATTTAAATAAAATCCCTATTTTATTTGCCTCATATATTCAAATAAAAATGAAAACTTTTGTGTTTTATTCCAGTTTTATTTGGAAAGTTTGTGTTCTGTGTTTGCTTATGGATAAGTACACATGATTTTGTGTGTATGTGTGTGATAATGTACTTACAAAACTCTTTATAATTAATTAGCTTAATATATTTTGTTCCAAAAGATAAATCAGAGCTTGAAAAAGATACGGAAAAATGGGGCTAAAGAAGGGGTGAGGAGAAGAGAAATAAATGCTTTAAAGGAAAAAAAAAAGACATATTTTAAAATTTTCCCAACAGGGGAAACATTTCTTTCAGATTAATTTCTAAGAGAAATTTGCTTAAAAATGTTTTATATTCTGGATTTACACCAACCTTGAGTATCTGAGGGTACCTTCCTGGCTAATATAATAAACTTGAGACCAACTACAAGAGAGATACCCTGTAGACAAGAGGAAACGCAAGCAGAATTTCTAGTGTTTATTCTAACTGGTAAACAAAAAGATGTTTTACAAATAAAAATCCTGAAAAGACCATTTTAATTTTACTTGCTGTACTATTCATCCTTTAATTTCAATTCCAGCTAAATGATTTAGTGTTTAAAATGTTGTAGGCCAAAAATTTGGAAAAGTTTAAGTTGTAATATAGAAAATTTCAATTATGTGCTATTAATCCAGAAAAAAATAACCTCAATAAACAATTATGCAGACAAGTCAAGTGCAAATGAAATTGAAACTTTTTCTATTTTAAATGTTATTGAATGATTTAAAAATAAAATGATACTATCCTTCTGAGCATTGTACAAGTAATTATAGACTATGCAAAAAGAAATTAAAGATTAAGAAACTAGATTGTCTGACAGTAGCTGATTTTTCTTCACTGAAATGTAATAGCTGTGGGTTGAAATAAAATACTTGATGATATGACTTTATGCATATGCATTATAATTTAAAACTTATTCTTCTGTCAATATTTGTATAATGACCCCAAAGTTTAGAAGAGAACCACAAATATGAAGAAAATTCTTATCTTGAGCATTTTTAACAATTTGATGTAAATTGTGTGTAAAACTCTGGAAAGAGTTCTTAAATATTTTATGCTAGTTGAATTTTTTTGCATTAGAACAGTATCAGGAAAAACAGAATTAATTTTAGAATGGACATATTCAATGAGATATTAGGTAATATGCTATATGGAGATTAAATCCACTCTTAAGTTATTGAACCTGAACTTGCTTTTAATTATTAAACACCACAATCGAAGGAGATTTTCACCATTTAAACAGAGCTTTCCCATACATTGATTTCAACAAAGTTATATAGAGCAGGCATTTCTCCCTCCATTGAGAAATGGATCATTGGAATGACTTTCAAGACAAATCAGTAATTGACTACCAAATCCTGCTACCTTTGAGGTCAAACTTGGTTTACCAGATTTGAAACTATATTCGTTGCAATATATAATGTATTTCATACCATTTTGATCATTCCATCACACATTTAGCCTAAAAAGTACTCAAAGATCTATTTGTTATGCTCCTTCCATTAGAGGGATTGGTGTATAGCTTGAAGTATACAGAAATTTTTATAAAAGGCTAGCCTATTGAACTAGGAGGACACTGAACTCAGAATCAGAATGATCATGTTCTCATCCCATGTCAGCCAGTTGATAGCCATCTGTTCTTTGACAAAACACTTAATTTCTTTGAACTTCATGTATCTCATTTAGATATGCCTTGCTGTCTTAACAGAAAATAAGATAAAAATGTAGAAAAATGCTCTTAAGTGGAAAATTTTACTCATATAAGTTACATTTATGTTCTTCCGATCTTGCAGTTAATTCAGGAAGATATTCTGGATACTGAAAATGACAAAAATGAGAAGGAAGCAGTCATAAAGCGAAAAATTCCTTACATTCTGAAACGGCAGCTGTATGAGAATAAACCCAGAAGACCCTATATACTCAAAAGAGATTCTTACTACTACTGAAAAGATTAATATTTTATTCCCATGTGATTATGATTTATCATCCTTTAATTAAATATCAACTTATATTTGTGTGAAAATTTGATAGGATACACTCATTTTGTTTCTTCTACAATTATGATTTCTTAAATGTGGTTTTACTGCATTAATATAAATTAAAATTAAACTAAATGTTTTCAAATAAATCTAGATCTTCAGCATGATGTGTTGTGTGTAATTGGAGTAGATATTAAGTCACATATACAATGTTTTGTAACTTTGCAAACCACACTATTTAAAGTCACATGTTTGACATTTTATACCAAATTATAAGACATCGAAGTACTACAGTAAAGTCTATCCTACATATCATTAACCCAAAGCAAAGTTATAGCAGCTCTTTAATTATTGTCTGAATGTTTTATTGAACTGAAAGAATACACACTGTTTTCCAGACTTACTTGGTTATCTTTCAGATATAGGAAAAGTTATGTGGTAAAATAGGATCACTTGAAAGAATGATTAATGAACTATTGTTAATTATACCTATTTTGATGCATGAGCTTCAACTGAATTTTTTGTCTGTTAAATGAACTTATTAGCTAATAAAAAGATGACAAGCCATTAGAGTCATATGTATCTTTGCAGATTTGCTTCCATTAGAAGAGTTATTTTTTATTGACGTTTTTCCCCTTTTCACATTTTGATCCAGTAAATAATACCTTTATTTTTAACTTCACTGATGTATTTGTGTGACTGATATTTTTTCCCAATCGAGAGGGAATATTTGAATTATACTGAAACAACGCCTCCTAAATTTCCTTTAAGATCATATTTATGCTATAAGCCCTCATAGCCTTTGCATTTCAGGTTTATTAGTGACTTTCTTGACTCTCTCTTTTACAGGGGTCTAGGAAAGACCTCTCCTCACACAGCTGCAACCTATTCCATAGTCATCTATATAGGATGAAATTAGAGCTTGAGTTCTTCTGGAAATAAGGAGCCTTTAGATCTACACATCATTGTGAGGAGATTGTTCCTTCCCTCAACTTAATCTTATTCAGAGTAGGATTTAAGAGCAGCCTACACACCTCTGAAGTTTTCTTATGAAACATGACTCATCACTATCACTACCCCACCATCTTTTGCCATCCTGTTAGCTTCCACATTACAAAGTGTCCACGGTACTGATCATGAGAAGGAAACTATTCTACAGTGATTAAGAATGTGTTCTCTGGAGTCAGAATGCCCAGCTTCAGCTCCACTACTCACTTGTAATCTTAGACAATTTATTTAATCCCTCTGTATCCTCTACTATGAAATGTGGATAATGATAATGTTTGAGGGAGGGTGATATGGGCTGATATATATAGTATGCTTATAATGGTGCCTGGAACATATTAATAACACATTAAATTTAGCGATCATTTTTAGTAGTAGCAGTAGTAACAACTTTCTGATAAGGAAATACCCAACAGATGATATAATTCCTTGTTTACTTCATTAGCCAATAGAAATGCAACCCTCCTAGGTCATACATCATCATCAATGCTCTATTCTAAGCCAACATTCATCCTTTCTAGACCCCTAAATTCTTCAATTGGTTTGCACTGAAATTTGTGGTCATTGCTTCCCCAATAGCCTTTAATTGACTGACTTTTACTTCACACTTCAAAACCTAGGGTCTGGAAGCGAGGTATGAGTTCTGGCCATTTCCGTGCCATTTTTCTCCTTCCTTTTTTTTTTTTTTGAGACAGAGTCTCACTCTGTTACCTGGGCTGGAGTGCCGTGGTGTCAGCCTAGCTCACAGCAACCTCAAACTCCTGGGCTCATGCCATCCTCTTGCCTCAGCCTCCCGAGTAGCTGGGACTACAGGCACGCACCACCATGCCCAGCTAATTTTTTTCTATTTTTAGTTGTTTGGCTAATTTATTTCTATTTATAGTAAAGATGGTGTCTCACTCTTGCTCAGGCTGGTCTCGAACTCCAGAGCTCAAGCAATCCTCCCACCTCAGCCTCCCAGAGTGCTAGGATTACAGGCATGAGCCACTGCGCCTGGCCCCATTTTTCCCCTTTTAAAACTACATATTATTTGAAATGTAGAGCATAAGACAATTTCATCTACTGCCCCTCTGTGTTTTGAACAACTGCTCTTCTTCTCCTGGTTGCTTGCTTCATTCATTTCCTTGAGGACATCCATATACATGTACAAGATCCATACGATAATGTTCCTATTCAGTTTCTTAACATCTTCATTTCCAATAATAAGCATTTATTCATTTCATCTCAACCAATCACTTCCACAATCATATTATAGAACTTTCATTAAGTTAAATCCTTCCCAAAATCCCAATTTTAAGCACTCTACTCTCCAAGGAGTATGATTGCTAGATATATGATGACAAGTATATATTGAGTTTTATAAGAAAATACCAAACTGTCTTCCAAAGGGTCTGTACCATTTTGCTTCTCACCAGCAATGAATGAGAATTTCTGTTGCTCCACTTCCATGTGAGAATTTGTTGTAGAATATTGTGTTTTAACTTACCTCCCCTGATTTCTTTACCTCACAAACACTCCATACCACACTGAGATGGGAAGTCTGCTAATTTCATTGTGGTAAGTGATTTTTCGGTTTTCATCTGAATGATTGTTGATGGTAGAGAAGTGCTCTTGAAGTCAGGGGAACTTGATACGATGAAGCATTTAGACATTTCATTTCACAGGATCAGAATAGTACAAGGCTTTTTCAAGTTGTGTTCAAAAATAAAACTTAAAAATATATGAAAATGAGCCTAAACTTGCCTTATGCTCTGAGTTGGTTTATGTGTAAAAACACATTTGAATAAGTTGCATAACCTCTAACATGCCACACACAAACACTTATGGTATGACCTATATTTCTGGTTTCATGTTCTACTGTTTTTACACTTATTTACAGGGGTGCACTGACAGGGGTGTATTTCTTGTGCTCTTTGCTCTATTCTCTTTCTCATGCCATTTCTTCCAGTGAAAATTGACTTCTACTTTTGTCTAATTGATCATTTTCCATTCTTTTGAGACTAAGATGAAATACCACAACTTGGAAGTATTTTTGAACCTATAACTCCCTACCTAAAGCTCAGTTAAATCTACCTCATGTTCCTCTTCTGCACTGTTAAAGTACTTTAAGTATGTCCCTATTAGCACATTTACCATATGGTATAATAATAGATTTCATGCTTCTCTGAAGACAAACTTCTTTAAGTGAAATATTATGCGTTGTTCGTATCTGTCTCCCTTGCTCAGTTCCTGGCTTATAGTATGAAAATATTTGTTAAGTAAAACATTGCTTAGCTGAGGAAGGCAGTGATTGCAGCCACTCACTTTGACTCAACTTTTTTGTGGATAACTCTCTAAGAAGATGTTTTATGAAAGAAACAAATCTGTCAGTGTGCAGATGGGTGGATTTATTTTATTTCAGCATATTATGGGGCTACAAATGTTTGGGTTACATATATTGCCTTTGCCCCAACTGAGTCAGATCTTCAAGTGTGTACATCCCCTAGATGGTGTGCACCACACGCATTAGGTATGAATATTCCCATCACCTCCTCCCCCTCCCACCTGCCCGACACCCAGTGAATGTTACTACTATATGTGCAAATAAGTGTTGATCAATTAATACCAATTTGATGGTGAGTACATGTGGTGTTTGTTTTTCCATATATTTATACCATGGAGTACTACTCAGCCACAAAACAACGGCAATCTAGCACCTCTTATATTATCCTGGATAGGATTTTTTTTTTTTTTAAGAAAGAACCAGATCTGCCCCTTTTTAGATCCAATTGTATACAAGGATTCTATGTATAGCATTTCTCAGGGTCCTATTTCAGAATGGTAATGAGGCTCTTCCAAAAATTGGAGTGCCATCAACATCTTATGAAACTGCTGACTTGCAGAATTCACTTACCCAGCTTGGATTGTGATAAGTAGAATATGTAATGAAGTTATTGAGAAAGAGACCTAGCTGTCTGATATCTATCCCAGAGAAATTCCAAGCTTAATACTCCCTTATCGAACCCAGCTATCCTGGTTAACAAATTGGCTCCCATCACTAGGCATTGCTACTTTGACCAGGACCAACACAAACGAGTTTTTCTCTGGTTAAAAATAACAGCTAAATGCGATTACGTTTTCTGTGATAGAAAATCTTTTAGTGGTTCCAAGGTTTTCACAAATGATTGAATCTGGTTTTTACTTTGTTGCAATTTAAATTACTTTAGATTTTTATAGAGCATTCAATATATGGACTTTCACTTTAGGAGAATAATTTGCGTGAGTGCTGAAATACTAGCTGCTAGAAATATGTACAAATAAATCTAAATTAGAGCTTTTGAGAGTTCTCAGCAGAGTCCTGTGGGAAAATAAATGAGGAATTTAAATGATTTATTGCTATATTATTATTGGTAACTTTTAAAGGAGGTGTGAAGTAACATAATGTGTGACTGTATTTATCACAGCACAGCCTAATGAAAGATAAGTTATCTGACATTTACAAGAAAAGGCTTTATGTCCCTGCATGTAAATTCAGTGAGTGTTAAAATATCCTCAGTGTCGTATTTGTAAAGCTAATTCCCATTCACTTAAGAACTTACCACTCTTCTAGTAGATAGTACCCTGCTGTTTAATGGTCTTCAGGGAAGCATCTGACTAACTTGCTATTCCTAACCAATTTTTAATCAGGGGAAAGTTACCTACAGACAGAGCGGTTTAGAGATGTTCAACTTATTTCCTCCCAAAATATGTTCCTGGTATATAAAATGTGCCCAAATAAAAGAGCTGCCAAAATATTTTCATGAAATGCTGGGAAATGATTACAAAGACACTAGGAGTTCGAAGGCCAGGTTAGTTTTCTGAGAACATAATTCTTTGAGGTTTAAAGTCTTACAATTTTGTTTTGTTTTCAGATTTCTTTCAAAGAATTCTGACCCCTATTTCATCAAGATATAAGATAAGGTTAGTTATAAAAATTAATTATGTTTTCTTTTAGTTAACTCATATTTCTTGTGTACCTACTCTCTGAGGTACTGTGAATAGATTGTGAACACAAAACACCAAAATAAAGGTGTGCTTCCTATTGTGTATGAATAATACCTTTCTACATTACATATTGTGTCCATATGACTAAGTTTTAGCCAATGGGATTAAAGAAGTTTATATGCCAACTTCCCAGAATCCT